ATCTATCCGACTGAACCTTTGGTGTAACCACCTCTTTGAAGCTACTACCTACCACACACTCTCTGCCACCTGTACGCTCCTCAGTGCTTCCAACCGCTGTTCCAACCAATCCATGCTGTCTGACAGGAGCTGCAGCTGGGCACACTTCCTACAGACATTGTCACCCTGCTCCCTGATCACCAACAGCTGACAGGAGGAGCATACCGCTCCACTGACTTCCAAATCTAACCAGATTACTTAATTTGCTGAAGTAGATTAAGTGGCTACAGCACTAGGAGAGCTTGTTTAAACTTTCCTTAAGCCTGAAAAATAAAACCCTTAAATGTCTACCCCTCCCTTACCCATAATTATAACTTTTAAAAAATGCGAAAGATTAAGATTTATACTCTTCAACTCCCACACTTAGCTCAGTTCCCAGCAATTGCACACGCTTCCTCCTCTCGCATTGTCACAATGTTGTGACACTCCTAGTAACTGCACACTCACGTTGTTTTGCTGTAATGTCTGCTTTCAAATTTAATTGTGTTTAAATAAACCGATCCACAGAGTTAATCCATTATCATTAATGTGTCTGAAATTAGGAGTTCTATATGCAAATATTTGATTGGTTGGAATAATGCAATATATTTCTGACAACTTTGATGCATAATGGTAATCTAGAGCTAAGGTTGAAAATAAGAAGTAAACTAAAAACAAAGTGAACAATATGTATCAATTAGTCCTGTAGTGAGCATTTATAAATATGGACTTAAATATTTTAATCATGGGCCCACCCTGAAAATCTGCAGGGTCTCAGGTCAAAATGCTAATTTTAAGAACTAGTAGAAGTAAGTTTATTTCATGGCTTTTTTAGATATCAGTGACAACTTTGAAAAGAAACTAGATTTATGTAAATCGTTATATTATCTTTTATATATATTTATATATCTGTCACTCCTCCCTTATTCTGCTATTGTTGATAGCTACGCCTGCAAGGAGATCAACTGTCATGAAATGTCATGATATTTTTATCTATTACACTTTAAAACTGGACAAAAACAGTGAGTAACTTCATAACTTGGATATCTATTCTCACCTTTTATACACCTCTCCCAATATTCATTTCCAACTCTTAGCTGCTTGCTAATCCATTGAAATTTTCCTGAGTTTGTTCTAACGGCATTGTTGTTTTACATTGTCCATCCAATGCAAAAATGACCTCCATATTATGCAGAATTGTAAGCACCGATGTATCCCTTTTCATTTTGTGATGCCTCTGTAATTAAATTCAACATAGTCACCCATAGGATGAGATGCTGTGCAAAGCAGAGACTAGCATGAATTCTCTCTTTAGGTTCTTTCATGACATTGGCACTGTAAATTAGGAGTGTAGGCCAGCATTCCCCTTTCTTATTGTGACTCTAGAAAAATTTAGCACAAAATAACTACTCCTAGGCTATCCTCCACCGCCAATACTAAAATACAGAAACAAGCGTGCAGCGTGGCTGACACCAGAAGGTAAGTATGATGCTTAAGGTCATTTGACTAAGGAGTTCAGATGTGCTGCCTACTTTTACAATAGAAAGCTCATGAATTAAATCACTACAACTATAACTACCTGTAGATGTTGTGATGAAGTCCTCCATTTCTATTCATTTCTTTGTACAGAGCATGACATTCACTTCTATCCAGCAATAAGGGTGAGGCTTAATGCAAGGTTTTCAATAAGTCAGGCAGAACATTTTGGCGTCACTAAACAGGATTTCAAATGATAACAACTGAATGTCAGTAAGTATGGGAAGAAAAAAGCTGTAGACTTAAATTGTAGGAGTGTGGCAGTTAGCTGTATTACAGAAAAAGCAGATGAAACACTTCGATTCTGTGCATGGGGACTCAGTTCGACAGCTCTGTGCTGTTAGAACAAACTTAGGAGAAGTTGTAGGGATTAGCAGTTGGAGTCATGACTCAGAAGGCATCCAGGGGAGCTGGAGAGGTGGGAAGTTGCTGGTTTTGTATTGAGGAAGCATGAAGGGCTTAGAAAAAGCCAGCAGATATTAATACTTCTGATCAGCCAAGACAGTCAGAATTGAAAAGCTCACAAGCAATGTTTGTTTGATATAACTGAGCAAGATTAGAGTTTAGGAGAAAACCCAGATCGGATCTGGCTCAGTGAATCGGGTTAGTGAAGAGACTATACTGATGAGCGAGTGCTGGAAGGTAGTTTCGAAGTCCGGGGTGGGTACGGACCCTGTAAAGGAGCATCATCACCTAAAGCAGGAGCAGCAGTTGAGGCAGTCTATGACAGCGAGGCAGTTTCAAAGTCAGACTGGCAAACGTTAAGCATTGTAAACTCCTGTGAAGTTTACTGAGTTTTGTTGACTCACTGTGTCAATTAATTGTACAAATTGATGGATTTGAATTTAATTGTACTTACTGTTCCTTGATGTAAATTGTTTTTGACTAAATCAAAGTAAAATATAGAACAAATGATGAAATACACACTTTCTCCAATTTCAGCAAATTCAATTAAAATTGATGGCGATTGAATAAAAAGATTCCATGATAGCAATGAAATAATGGATAGTTTAAATTATCCATCATTGATACATAGTACTACAGTTCTCTCTCTGACATGCTGTTATTTATTAATGCCTGATACCAATATGTGAGTATTTACCAGTTGAAAACAGGTGTTCATACATTGGAAAAGCAAAATAAATAATACATGACTTGATTCATACATGAAATACAGAGATGGCACTGTCCTCTCTAAAAAGCATAACAATACTCAAATGCTTGTGCTGATCATGTGTGATCTCAGCCAGGGAAGCAAATATTTGGGTTGAGCTCAGTTGTGCCCAATTTATGCAGCATTCTAACTTCAAGCTGATGGGAATAGCTACGATTTTTGCCTATTTCCTTTCTATCTGATGGAGCATTCTACAGCAAGCTTGTGTTTATCTAAGAGTCACCTCATGAAGTCTGCCTTTTGTGCCATCTAAGAGAAGATAACTTTTTTAGTGGAGCCTGTGGCCATGCATGGGTCTCATACTGGGCTGTAAGCAAGCCACAGGTTAACCCAAGATCAAAGTAGACAATGACCCAGCGGGAATTGAATACCATTGGAACAGTCCCTGTTTGATTGCTGTCAAGCATTTGAGGTACAAAAGAAACACTCAGCCAGTCATAGGGTGTTGATGAAGACTGAACCAAAATTAATGTGCTGAATTTTAACACCCCAAAATACGACTTCGGCCATGTCAAATATTAAAATGCAAGAAACCTGAAACCATAATCCAATATGTATCAGATCCATCCTTTTCTATTTTGGTTAGAAGTAAGACAAGAAGCCATTTATATATTACAAAGGGGTTGTATCCCTTCAGTTTAGTTGTTGTCATACTTTTAAGCAAAGGTATTGAGTTTCCTATGACCCTGGAAATCTAGTAGATAAGACAGGCAGAAATGGCTGTATTCCTTATTAGAGATAACAACGTGTAGAGCTGGATGAACACAGCAGGCCAAGCAGCATTAGAGGAGCAGGAAAGCTGACGTTTCGGGAGTAGACCCTTCTTCAGAAAATGAAGAAAATTTTCTGAACAGGGGTCTAGGCCCGAAACGTCAATTTTCCTGCTCCCCTGATGCTGCTTGGCCTGCTGTGTTCATCCAGCTCTACACGTTGTTATCTCAGATTCTCCAGCATCGGCAGTTCCTACTATCTCTGTATTCCTTATTAATTCTTTTGTGGGACATGGGTTTCACTGGCTGGCAGCACTTATTGCCCGTCCTGAGATGCTCTTGAAAAGGTGATGGTGAGCTGCCTTCTTGAACGAGTGCAGCCCAAGTGTTATTGGTTGGCTCACAATGCCGTGGGGGAGGAAATTTGACCAGCGACAGTGAAGGAACAATGATATATTTCCAAGTCGGATGATGGGTGGCTTGGAGGCGAACTTGCAGGTGGTGGTGTTCCCATGTATCTGTTTCCCTTGTCTTCTAGATGGAAGTGGTCGTGAGATTGGAAGGTGCAGTCTAAGCATCTTTGATGAATTTTTGCAATGGATCTTGTAAATGGTACATACTGCTGCTACTGAGCATTGGTGATGGAACGAGTGGATGTAGTGCCAATCAATTGGCTGCTTTGTCTCAGATGGTGTCAAGCTTCTCATGTTATTTGAACTGTACCCATCCAGACAAGTGGGGAGTATTCTACCACACTCCTGATTTGTGCTTTGGAGATGGTGGACAGGCTTTAGGGAGTCAGGAGGTGAGTTGCTTACCACAGTATTCCTAGCCTTTGACATGCTCTTGGAACCACTATGTTTATGTGGCAAATCTAGTTGAGTTTCTGGTCCCTAGAATGTTGTTCGTAGGGGATTCAGTGATAGTAACACCATTGAATGTCAAGGTGTGGTGGGTAGATTGGGAATGGTCATTGCTTGACATTTGTGTGGCACAAATGTTACTTGCTACTTGCCAGCCCTAGCTTGGGTATTATCCAAATCCTGTTGCATTTGAACATGGACTGTAGTGAGGACAAGGTCAGATATCATAGAATCCCTAGAGTGTGGAAACAGGTCCTTTGGCCTAACAAGTCCACACCAACCTCAGAGCATCCCATCTAGACCCATCCCCCTATGACACACCTACTCTACACATCCCTGAACACTACGGGCAATTTAGCATGGCCAATCCACCTAACCTGCACATCTTTGGACTGTGGGAGGAAACTGGAGCACCTGGAGGAAATCCACACAGACACGGGGAGAATGTGCAAACTCCATACAGACAGTCGCCCCGGGATGGAATCGAACCTGGGTTCCTGGCGCTGTGAGGCAGCAGTGCTAACCACTGAGCCACCGTGCCGCCCTCAAGAAGCAAAAATGCCCAGCATGAGGCTCAAGCCTATGAGCCTGAGATTAAGAGTCTCATGCTCTACCGACTGAGCTGGCTGGGCCTTTTTTTGGGTGGCTCTTAAAAGAGCCTTTGGGTTGTCAGATTCAAGACTTTTTACTTTTTACTCTTCACTTTTTAGGAGCGGTTTTCTTGGGCAGCAGCATGGCCTGGACATTAGGCAGCACCCAGCCCTGAGTGTTGGTCACCTCTCCCAGCAGCTTGTTGAGCTCCTCGTCGTTGCACACAGCCTGCTGGAGGTGACTGGGGATGATGCAGGTCTTCTTGTTGTCCCAGGCTGTGTTACCAGCCAGCTCGAGGATTTCAAAAATCAGACACTCAAGCACCGCAGCCAGATAGACCAGCGCTTCGGCACCTACATGCTCAGCATACTTACCCTTTCTCAGGAGCCTGTGAACACGGCCCACCAGGAACTGCAGGCCAGCCTGGGACTTCGCCTTGGAGCGAGCTTTCCCACCGCTCTTTCCTCTTCCAGACATAGCCACAATCTCACAAGCACTTCCACAGAGAACGCATCTTGCTTCACCGCATTGATGGGTCCAAGGAATTTCCAGACCAATAATTTAAACAAATATAAATTCAAATTTAGATTGCTGAGAATGATTATTTTGAGAACAGTCAATTTAAACAAAATCTGAGCTATATTGTAATAATATTGAGTGAGGCGCCATTGATATTTCAGTAAAATATAAAATGATATTAATTTTGATATCAGTTATGAAGTCAGCAGAATTAAAACCCTATATTCCTTTCTTGCTAATCATTGGTTACCTTATGCTCAGTTTTCTTCAAAATATGTAGAATGCATTTTTTTTAAAGTTAGTGTAAGTGGATGCTGCTTTATTTGTTTTAGCACAGTTCAAAGATTCAAAGATTCAATGTTCCAAGATTAAGCAGAGGATTTCACAGATGCACTAAATCTAGTCCTATTAAGTTAAACATTTCCTTCAGTTCACAAAAGCTATGACTCCAAATCATAAAATCCTGTGCCAGTCAGTCTTTTTGAAATCATGTGTTTTCCTACTACAGAAGTCAGGAGAAGTGTGTTTAAGAAATGTGGAAAGGAATCATATCCTGACTACTGTTCCTTCCTCCACTAGAGAATTTGGCTGAAGTGAGACACAACTAAGAGATACTTCTGTCATGATTGACTGGACCTTTTTTGAGAAGGTTCTTCCAAACAGCAGCTGTACTTGAACAGGACACACGTCTCTCAGAGAATGGCAGAAAACTTGTGGGAAAATTAAATGGTGGAGTCCCTGCACAAGGAAATTGGTATATAGTTGCAGTATTTTGAATTTAGCTTACGATTACACTTATCTCAATGATCACTGTTGGAATGTGAATTTCCTCAGAGCTTCTCAAACTCCACTGATGTAATTTCAGTGAAAGGTGGATGGTTGCCCTTTTCATCCATGTCGTAAAAGGTTAGAGAGTCAGAGGTTGTGAGAAAATTTTCTCACCCTTTCATAGGGTCCCTACAGTGTAGAAACAGGCTATTCAGCCTATCGAATCCATACCAACTCTCTAAAGTGCATCCCACCCAGATCCACCCCTACCCTATTCCTGTAACTCTGCACTTCCCATAGCTAATCCACCTAACCTACACATCTTTGGACTGTGGGAGGAGACCAGGGCACCTGGAGGAAGCCCGCACAGACACAAGGTAAATGTACAAACTCCACACAGACAGTCGCTCAAGGCTGGAATCTTGGGTCCCTGGTGCTGTGAGGCAGCAGTGCTCGCCACTAACCCACTGTGCTGCCCAAGGTGTGGCTATATCCCTGGGTTGTCATGCACCATCAACCTGCCAGTTAATAGGTGAACATGTTAACCTATTGTGCCACAGAGCTGGGTGCTATCAGTAATTTTGTAGTCTATTTGTGTTTTCTTTCAAACTCAAAAGTTAACTATAAAAATTGTAGAGAAAACAACACATTAAATATAAATGTGAAAGTTTCACAAAAATTATAAGGAATAAGGTTAATGTTATTGAAAGATGCAGTGATCTGTTGCTTTACATCTCATGTCTTATGACATTTTTATAAATTCATCTTTGTGTTAGGAAGATGGATGGGACACTCCCCGCTTTCATTGTTTAGTAAATTTCTAGATCTCTTGTAATGTTGCTCATAAATTGGGGAATAATCTGCTCTATTAGCAGTTAGATATTCAATCGCATAATACCTATGGTGGAGATTTCTGATGCTTGTCTCTGGGGAGCTGAAACAACAGTTTAGACTGTGTGTACTTGTCATCTCTTTCTTCCATGAAAGAATAGCTTCACTTAACTACCACAAAACACCATGCTGGTAAAGGAGTTGAAGCTTGCACTAGGAACAGCAGCCCTCAAATACTGAAGCAGTTGTATTCTTCTTAAATTGCTGGCTAAAACTCAATAATGAGGTGACAAATATTTGGAAAAGTTAACCCACTTCTAACAGCAGCCAGTTAATTGGGAGTAAATACGGTATCATTGAACATTTTGAGTTTTCTTAAAGATATATCACATTTTATGTTGTAGGAGGCTTGGGAAGCTCCTTGGGAATCTTGCACATGGTATACCATGCTGCCACTTTGCTGGTGGTGAAGGAAGTAAACAGTGAAGATGGTAAACAGAGTGCCGATGAAGAGGTTGCTTTTTCCTGAATGCTGTCAGCTTCTTGCAGCTTGTTGAAGCTGCATTCATCCAAGCAAATGGGTACTATTCCATTACACTCCTCCCTTGGGTCTTTGTAGGTGGTAGATAGGCATTGAGAAGTCAGGAGATGCATTAGCATTGAACTCCTAGTCTCTGACCTGCTTTGAAGCCAAGTTAGTTAAATAGCTGTCCCGGATCAGTTTTTGCTCAATGTTAGCCCTCAAACTGTTGAAAGTGATGGACTGTATGATGGTAATGCCATTGAATCAAAAGGAAAGATTATTAGATTCCCTTTCGTTCAAGATCTTCATTGTCTGCCAATTGTGTGGTACGAATTTTTCTTGCCACTTATCAGCCTGATCGTGGATGTTGTCCAGGCTTTGCTGCATATGGACACAGAATGCCTCAGGATCTGAGAAGTCATGAACGCTACCGAAAATTATGCAATCACCTGAAAACATCCCCATTTCTGACCATATGATACAAGGAAGATCATTGATGAAGCAGCTGAAGATAGTTGGGGCTGGGGCACTACTCTGAGGAACAACTATAGTGATGGCCTGGAGCTGAGATTATTGACCTTCAGCAAACATAACTAACTTATTTATGCTAAGAAATACTCTAACCAGCAGAGCATTTTCTCACTGAATCCCATTGACCCCAGGTTTTCTCGGGCTCATTGATGCCATACTCAGTTGAATCATGCCTTGATGTCAAGGGTAATCACTCTCATCTCACCTCTGATTCAGTGCAATCACGAATTAAGACCAGAATTGTGACCTAAAACCAAACTTGCAACAGGATTGCTTCTTGAGGGTGGTATGGTGGCTCAGTGGTTAGCACTGCTGCCTCATAGTGCCAGGGACCTGGGTTCGATTCCACTGCTGGGTAACTGTCTGTGTAGAGTTTGCATATTCTCCCTGTGTCTATGTGGGTTTCCTCCCACAGTCCAAAGATTTGAAGACTAAGTGGATTGCCCATAGTGTTCAGGGATAGGGGGATGGGTAAGTGTGGACTTGTTGGGCCAAAGGGCCTGTTTCCACACTGTAGGGATTCTATGACTGTATGTCAATATATTGATGACTTAGCACCTTTGCTTTTGCACTTTCTCCAAATTAACCTCCACAACCCTGCCACACCTTCTTCCTAAAGTGGAGATATGCAGTTGTGTACATCCCTTTAAGGCTATAACACCCAATTGCTGTGAAGTTCCTCCAACTTAGATCATCATCAGGTTCCCTGGTGATTGATTGTCTAAACTGAAAGCATTTTGTACTTCTCGACAAGCTCAGAAAATTTATAGATCACTATGTTTCTTTGTCTATATATAACACATGATGGCCGAAATGTGACCGATTTATACTGAATGCAAGACTTGAAAGAGAGAAAATGTCGTCGCATTATTGTTGAATTGTGGAATTGGACATTTTAAATTAATTATGCTCAGGTTTGTAAGAACATTTTAAGTTGTAATTTTCTAAATTTACAAAGTAATTCATGAACAACAATTTCTATTTTCACTACTTTGATAAAAGCCTGATCAGCGCCAAATTGACTGTTCTCCAGGGATTCTAGCCTCAGGGCTCTCAACTAGTCAAAGCTAAGTTTGATGCCCAGGGGATCAGAGGTTTAAGGGTCCTTTGTTCTGGAGTAGCCTGCAGATAAATGATATCAATGGAAAATGTAAAGCAGAAGAAAATTAGACATTGAACCCACTGACCATAACTGAATCCCAAGAGAAATACACAGCATGAAAATGGGTCCTTTAAATAAGTACTTCAGTTCATCAATGCACTAATGGCATTTTAAAATTAACTTAAAAAATACTATGATGCATGTGCCTTAGAAGGCAAAATCTAAGCTTTGCTGGATCTGAGGAAATGAATATGAAACAAATATTTCAACAAAGTATGTACACAAATGCTTTAGTGCATTGCATAATTTAACCTCACCCGTAAAATTCTGCAGTGCATTCCAAAGTAAGAGAAATGAACTTGATTCAGCAGTTTCACCTTCATGAAAGCAACATTGAAACTTGGCATTGTTACCAGTTCACTGCAGGAGAGTTGTTCTTCTCAGATAGGATTTTAGGCTATTGGCAGGAAGATGGCAACATTTTCTGGCAAGGCTACAGATTTGCATTATACCTCACTTAGCAAGGCTTATGATCTGTCTCTGAGCATAAAAAAGAAATAAAGTTCAATTCTCCAGTCCCATTTAGCTTTACTTAATGAAAAAAAGGCAACACATTATTCATCCAAATTTGAGGTAACAACTCATATTACTGGTGTGCCTCCAGAAAAAGATTACTTAAGAATGTGCATGTGCATGTCAAGTTTTCTGCTTTTATTTAAATGCAGTGCTGCACCAAAATGAACTGAGCAATGACAAATTGCTATATTCCAAATTAATCAGATCTTGCATCTTTAAGAGTTATAATATTGCAAAATGTTGGGTTAGGTATTCCAAATGTTGACTGGAAGATTGCTTTAACTACCTCATACTGCACTGACTTAAATTTTCTTTTCACTCTTGGATAATTCAAAATATTTGAGCTTACCAAAGATTATTCTAGTTAAGACAGGCTGTAATGATCAGCATCCAACTATTCTAAGTCCTCAACCCTAGCAATTGCAAGTTGTAACTAATATCTATCCAATCCTAAAGTTCTGGTATATTCCTGAGAGTACCACATGTCAAAGTGTACTACAACTTAAAATATGCGTATGCAACAAAAAACATGCGCAAGATCCCCAATTTACGGTCCAGTAGAGCCAATGTTAAAAGGGTCATTTTACCCCAACATCAGTTCATGTTATTTAAGGCAGAGATCATAGA